AATCTGTAGGGGACTGTACACAGCAGGTTTGATTTGAGGAAAGTAGAGGACAGCTTGTATTCCTTGCAAAACCAGAAAAAATGGGGTTGATTCCTAAGAAGTCAGTGGTTGAGAGTTCATCCCTGAGGTCACTAAAGACAGTTGTCAACAGCTAAAATATTACCTCCTATAAACATTATACAGGATAATACATAGTGTATATACATACTGTATGCACCATTGAGTCTATGAGTACTGTAATCAACTGAACAAGTGTGATTACAGCCTCGACTAGCGTAATTTCAACCCATTGGAATGCATACCCCAGTTATACAAGTTACAGGAAATTTCATATTATAATTGTGTATTAGAATAGTATTGGGTATTTTTTGATGGTATATACATGTATTGTGATAAGTGTAGTATGTACACAAGTGTTTTAAGCATACGATAATGATTATCAAGATATATCATTTGGTAACCGCTTTTTTTTTTTAAATACAATGCATTATGTTCCTACCCTGGCCACATACTTATCAAATTTTAAGCGGCAAGTTAACATTCCAACCTAGAAGTTAAAAGTAGCAGCAGTAAGCTGATGCCAACAAGTAGAATAGCATCAGAAGGCAGACTAGCTAAGGCAGTGTTCAACAGCACTTTAGAAGCAGTTGTCAGCCCAAGCTAGACCAGCAAGAGCAGATAGATTGGCATGCAAGCAAATGAATCACAAAGGACAGTGCTTAGACCAGCAGGAGAAACAAACGTCAAAAGATATGGAAATTATACTAATAAGAATAGCAGCTGACCTATATTGAAGATAATAAACATCAGATATAATGGTTGGAGTGTGTATAGACAGATGACAGCAACCCCACCACTAGTCAGTACAGAAGTGAGGGAGGTTTAAATTGTGTAAGGAGTACAGGAGACTGAACCTGCAACCATAACTATATCAACTTAAGCCATAGTGGGTTACCTGGAGTTTACCTGGAGTGGGTTTCAGGGGTCAATGCCCCCACAGCCCGGTCTGAGACCAGGCCTCATGGTGGATCAGGGTCTGATCAACCAGGCTGTTACTGCTGGCCGCACGCAAGCTGACGTACAAACCAGTTCCAACTGTTGCACGAGCCACTTTTACATAGAAATCTCGGCATCGCATGGGTTTCGATAACATAGTGTCCATTACTCCTGTCCAGGTCTATCAGTTTGGAGTACTGGAGTGTCAGACACTCCCAGGCCAGCAAATACATGAAACACTTGCCAGTAAGCAGTGTTAAAGGTTGGAGGGACACATCAATAGAAATACACATATTTTTCTCAAGGATTATCATATTCTTGGGGAAGTGCTAAATTCTTAGGGGTCATAAAATGTTCTATAAATGGGTTTCATCCGAGGAAGAAAGGGATATATTCAATCTTTTGAAGCAAAAGTCCTTCACCAACATCAAGGCATTTACAACTGAAGGGCTTACCAGAAGAAATATGCAATACTTAAACCTGCAAGAATTAAATGGTAAAGGTGCATAGGAGATCAGGCACAGTTTGAATTGAAAGATAAACAGCTGGTCAGAGAAATGTGCCGAGCACCTAGCTACTAGCCAACACTGAAGATCCTGTAACACCTGTACAAGTAGTAGAACTGCTAACAAATGTCTGTGGATGATCTGAGGTCACAGCATTACACTTCACATTAGGATGAGATGTTCTTGGCCAAATTCAAGTCCAGAAAACACTGTAGCATCTTGCCCAAGATCTGAAAAGCATGGCAGACCAGGCATATCCAGATGTCTCAGAGGTATTATATCCTGCATAACCAATTCATCTGCACTTTTTTTTTTTCCAACAAGTCGGCCGTCTCCCACCGAGGCAGGGTGACCCAAAAAGAAAGAAAATCCCCAAAAAGAAAATACTTTCATCATCATTCAACACTTTCACCTCACTCACACATAATCACTGTTTATTATTTTGCAGAGGTGCCCAGAATACAACAGTTTAGAAGTACATATGTATAAAAAAATACACAATATATCCCTCCAAACTGCCAATATCCCAAAACCCTCCTTTAGAGTGCAAGCATTGTACTTCCCATTTCCAGGACTCAAGTCCGGCTATATAAAATAACCGGTTTCCCTGAATCCCTTCACTAAATATTACCCTGCTCACACTCCAACAGCTCGTCAGGTCCCACATACCATATGTCTCCATTCACTCCTATCTAACACGCTCACGCACGCTTGCTGGAAGTCCAAACCCCTCACCCACAACACCTCCTTTACTCCCTCCCTCCAACCTTTTCGAGGACGACCCCTACTCCGCCTTCCTTCCCCTACAGATTTATATGCTCTCCATGTCATTCTACTTTGATCCATTCTCTCTAAATGACCAAACCACCTCAACAAACCCTCTTCAGCCCTCTGACTAATACTTTTATTAACTACACACCTTCTCCTAATTTCCACACTCTGAATTTTCTGCATAATATTTACACCAGACATTGCCCTTAGACAGGACATCTCCACTGCCTCCAACTGCCTCCTCGCTGCAGCATTTACAACCCAAGCTTCACACCCATCTAAGAGTGTTGGTACTATTATACTTTCATACATTCCCTTCTTTGTCTCCATATATAACATTTTTTGCCTCCACATATACCTCAATGCACCACTCACCTTTTTTCCTTCATCAATTCTATGATTAACCTCATCCTTCTTAAATCCATCCGCTGACACGTCAACTCCCAAATATCTGAAAACATTCACTTCTTCCATACTCCTCCTCCCCAATTTGATATCCAATTTTTCTTTATCTAAATCATTTGATACTCTCATCACCTTACTCTTTTCTATGTTCACTTTCAACTTTCTACCTTTACACACACTCCCAAATTCGTCCACTAACCTTTGCAATTTTTCTTTAGAATCTCCCATAAGCACAGTATCATCAGCAAAAAGTAACTGTGTCACTTCCCATTTTGTATTTAATTCCCCATAATTTAATCCCACCCCTCTCCCGAACACCCTAGCATTTACTTCTCTTACAACCCCATCTATAAATATATTAAACCACCATGGTGACATTACACATCCCTGTCTAAGACCTACTTTTACCGGGAAGTAGTCTCCCTCTCTTCTACACACCCTAACCTGAGCCTCACTATCCTCATAAAAACTCTTTACAGCATATAGTAACTTACCACCTATTCCATATACTTGCAACATCTGCCACATTGCTTCCCTATCCACTCTATCATATGCCTTTTCTAAATTCATAAATGCAACAAAAACTTCCCTATCTTTATCTAAATACTGTTCACATATATGCTTCAATGTAAACACTTGATCTACACATCCCCTACCCACTCTAAAACCTCCTTGCTCATCAGCAATTCTACATTCTGTCTTACCTCTAATTCTTTCAATAATAACCCTACCATACACTTTTCCTGGTATACTCAGTAAACTTATTCCTCTATAATTTTTACAATCTCTTTTGTCCCCCTTCCCTTTATATAAAGAGACTATACACGCTCTCCGCCAATCCCTAGGTACCTTCCCCTCTTTCATACATTTTTTTTTTTTTTAACAAGTCGGCCGTCTCCCACCGAGGCAGGGTGACCCAAAAAAGAAAGAAAATCCCCAAAAAGAAAATACAGTACGTACTTTCATAATCATTCAACACTTTCACCTCGCTCACACATAATCACTGTTTTTGCAGAGGTGCTCAGGACACAACAGTTTAGAAGCATATACATACATTTATTAAACAAAAATACCAACCACTCCAACACTATATCCCCCCTGCTTTTAACAATTCTGTCATGAACCTGTCAGTTCCAGCTGCTTTACCCCCTTTCATTCTATGTAATGCCTCACTCACCTCCCCCACACTCACATTCTGCTCTTCTTCACTCCTAAAAGATGGTATACCTCCCTGGCCAGTGCATGAAATTACCGCCTCCCTTTCTTCGTCGATATTTAAAAGTTCCTCAAAATATTCTCGCCATCTACCCAAAACCTCCATCTCCCCATCTACTAACTCCCCTACTCTGTTTTTAACTGACAAATCCACTTGTTCCCAAGGCTTTCTTAACTTGTTTAACTCACTCCAAAATTTTTTCTTATTTTCATTAAAATTTCTTGACAGTATCTGCACTTACCAGCATGAATTTCAAGGTACAGCTGAAGTAGGCCAAACCTCCTCACAATCTAGGAGCTTTATTTAGAGCAATGGAATCCATGTATATCAACTAACTCATGAAACCAAACATTATTAACTACAAGATCAATCAGGTTGTACTTGTCAGTGGCCTACAGCCCTACATAGCCATCACAATCAGATAAATCTGGCACTTTTAGCAGGTAGTGGTCCAGTTTCTTAATCATAACAGCTAAGATGAAAGGATGATTGGCAACTGATCTACAGTTCCTGTGCCCCTCAAGGGAGGTGCCTTGATGCTGGTGAGGGGCTCTTGATCTAGAGAATTGAATCTGTGCTCCGGTTCCCTGAAGTGAGCCTCAATACCTTCCATCTCTCCCCCACATGGGCTGTATAATCCTATGGGTTTAGTGCTCCCCCATGATTACAATAGTTCCTGTGAAGGAGCAGCAGCTATCTTCTGAGCCAGAAGAGTTTGGTTATAAGGAGCCCAACATAAGAGCCTGGCATGACAACACTAGGTCCCCCTACTTGAGATAAAAATGGAGAACAGTAACAGGACTATTTAGGGCAATATTATCATCATAGAAAATTGCTAAGACTGTACGGGAAAGGTAGCTCAAATTCTTTTTACAAAGAGCCGTTTACCAGTATCAAAATACCTCCCCTGAAAAGAATTACACGAAATTACAAAACAGTTCTAGGTCAATAATACCGTACTCTACTTAGAACCAAAGAACCGTAGGTGATGTCAGTCCCTAACAACGTATAAAATTCTATAATATACACAGATATATATAAGCTGTTAATTTTCTAAGTTTGTGTTAGTTGCTTTTTAAAGACTGTTAACAGGATAAAAAAAATGATTTCATTATTATTCCTTTTAATATCACAAAGTGCAATGAAAATCATTAAACATAAATTTCTAAACAGTCAACATTATAGGATACAGCCAGCCCAAAAAATTCTGCACATATCTATTCCAATAAAAATAAATAATTAGAAAATAAGGGCATATCCATTAAAAATATCAACATTTTTATATCTACAATAAAACATAGTGTAAAATAAAATATTAGTTTCAACTCATAGACCTACTGTAGTTCCATAACGGTTTTAAAAACTATGCTAAGCATCCTAAACAACTGCAACAGATTGAGCTGCTGTGTGTAATGTTAGAGACAATTGATTTTTGAAATCATCGTTTCATGCATGAAGGAGTATGGTAGTGTCTAGTAATATATCTCAAAATATGAGAAGTTTCAGAAACATTCACAAATTCTGACATTCGTTCTATAGAAAATAATACACCGCCAAACTGAAATCTGGCTTCGTCATTCACTTTATATCACACGGGTTAAATATTTATTACGTGTATACAAAAAATATTTTTCTCCTTAATTTCACATATATACTGTCCTACACATGAATTAAACATGTTATCAAGACCCAGACTACTTGGGGGGGGGGGGAATTAATTTGACTGAAAATATTTTTGGGGGCCAAAGTAAACCAATAAATATTTAAAGAAGTTCTCAATACACAGTTTGGAATGTCATTGATGAAAATATTCATTAGTATAGTGGAGCCTCGAATTTTATCATGCCTTTTCTGTATGTAAAACTATAGTTATTCTCTATAAAATGTATTTTTTGTTAATATTTCCCATAAGAAACAATGTAAATCCAATTTATCCATTCCAGACACCCAAAAATATTAACAAAAAATATATTTGATAGAGAATAACTATAGTTTTATATAAAGAAAATGGATGATGAAATTTGAGGGGTCCACTGTAATTATATTCATGGAAAGCTCTAAACCCATGAAGGTCATTTAATGTTGAATAAATATTAAAAAGTGTGTATTTTTCTTGTTTACTTATGCTAGGTGCACTGAGAAATACGTCCATTTACTAAATAATAAACTGAACAGTAAATTCAAACTAAGGCAAGGCCTATAAGAGGCAAGTAGAACCTTATCAGCGACAACAACCTCAAAATAATTCTGCAGCTTGACTATTACAAGTTAAATAATACTGAAGAGTATATTTCAAAATGCCCTTATGATGTATTAGCACATACATACAAAAAATATCGACATTAAATTTCGAAGTTCAAACTCCTAAAGTCAAAGTTTTTGAGCGTAGAAGCCGGTTACTTTCCTTTTGAGAAAATTTGATTAAAAATGGGTTTTATTACTTATTACCAAGCCCAAGTTTGATTAAAACTATCTTAACTTTTACCTGCCAAAATCAACACCAGTTAACTCACAATTATTGTTCAAAAAGACCAGTACAACATGTGACAAGTACAATACAACACAGTACAAACGCCATAATGAAAATCACACACGCACACAAAGAGTCTCCGTGCCAAGAACACAGTAAAAAAATTATCATTTTTTCTTAGGGGGTTCAAGCCATTTTTTTTCTTAGAGATGGAGAGCCAGAGGGCTGAGAAATTTACGCTTACAGTTTTTTTAAGTTTTGTATTTTTTCCTACAGCTATAATGATCAGGCAAAGGTTAATACGATTTATTCAGACTAAGCAGTATCGTCAAGCAACCAATAGCACAGTCGAACACCCAAACTTAGGAGCCCAATTCCTCGTAGAATCAGAAAGTTGGCAGAGTACTCTGAATATATGGTCATTTAGTTCAGAGGAATTCTGACATTTGGTACTCAGTCTGGAGAGGTCCAGCTATCAGCGCTGCAGCATGACCTGGTAGGCATTAGCTGTAAGAGGGGGCAAGTGCAGCTATAAACCAACTAGCTTCTGCCCCAACCAGTCATGTTTGTATAGATAGAATGCAAATGGCAACTATCATAAAGAATGATTATGGCAATATTTATAGCCATAACCCTTGTGTATATGCTAGTATATAGCGAAGCACACACTGAAATTACTAGTGATAAAAGGAGTTTAGGTGTATACACTTGATGACTTTAGAGCATCCATGTCAACATCTCTCATTTTGTAAGAAATTTTAGTGTTTGATGCCAGTGTTTTACCTCATTACCTTACCTAACACATAATAGTGTTTTTTAAGGCATTATTATTAACAAATGTTAAAAACAAGGGTTAATACAAACATACCTATGTGGCAATGAGACATTCTAACATATTTTTGAAGAAATTTTAATGTTAGTTACCAATATTTTAAGCTACAACCTTCCCTAACATAACTTGTATGTTATACATATATTTTCAATATGATAAGGACACCATGTATTTGCAATACAGTACCATTTTCATGTTGGATTTTTACTGTAATATTGTCTTGGAATTATTCCTTTAAATTTTAAGGCAAATAAAGGCCAGAGGCTTTCTGGCCCCATGCAGTCTGAACTTAGGGTGGTTAAATGCATGAACACACACACATACACAATGATTATTTGATCATTATTGCACCGTAACTGCCAGTAATTTATATAAATATTTAGTCATTTCATCTAAGCACAGGAATGGAAAAACCAGAGTTTTGCACTAGAAAGGACTAAACTGAAAAACTTCATAGGGTACAGAGATTATTAGTGAAGAGTAATGTTAAAGAAATTCAGTAACGAGGACTGATTCAGAGGAGAATCTGTCAAGAGCAGCAAGACAGAGAGGCCAATGTATGAAGGCAATAATCCAAGAGACAGGAATAGCAGTGACGGAAATCTCAAGAGTTTGATTATTTGTGGTGCCCCATTTTTAGTATTTAACCATTAAACTGTTCAAATGTAGATCTATGTTGATGTGTGTAGTGCTCCGAACATAGATCTATGTCTGATTTTACATGCTTTCAAATGGGGAAAATTAAGGTCAGAGCGCTACGTATGTCAACACAGATCTACGTTTGGACAGTTTAAGGGTTAATGTCGTAAGAAAAAACTGAAGCATACAGCGGCTGAAGCACTTATTACCTCATCTTGTAAACCATTCCAATTCTGCTTCTATTTGCAAATAAAAACTTTCTAATATCATTTAGGGAACTCTTCTTTCTTAGTTCGAGGCAGCTCGTATTTCTTAGTTTACAGTTATGTGATAAACAGTTAAAAACTGACAAGCTGAAGATTGAGACACTTATGCAACATATGGGAATCTTTATTGAAGAAACATTTCACTACAGTGACTTCATCAGTCCAATACAAAGCAGACTGGTGTAAGAAGAGGAGTAGTTTGAGGTAATCAGCCCCTCAGCCTGGAGTCAATGTGTTTAGTCCATCAATCTTTCTACAAGACTGATGGACTGAACACATCGACTCCAGGCTGAGGGACTGATTACCTCAAACTATTCCTCTCCTTACACCTTTCTGCTTTGTAGTGGACTGATGAAGCCATATGTTGCATAAGTGTCTCAATTTACAGTTATGACCCTTTTGTTCTGTCTGCTAAAGGAATCAAGAAGTCTTCCTTGTAAATTCTTTCATATCCCTTGACAACCTTCAGCTTTTTTTATCAACTTACATTTTATCTAGTTCTAGAAGTCACTTCATAATAATAATAATAATCCTAAGCTCTAAACCCAAAATGGGCATACAGCACTGCAAGGTGGGAGGTGGTAAAGAAATATGCAGACGACATAGACTAGTGTGGGGTAGGAGTGTGCATGACAGGTTTAGTGGGGATAGTGGAGAGTACTAACGGTAAAAATATAATGAAAGGTGGTGCCATAATTTAGTGGTGTTAAAAGGTCAAAAAGGTTGTCAGCATCAAGGGTGGGACTTTTAGTGAGGTCAGGTAGGGTAAGTGCATTAGGGCAGTGGAGATGTCATAAGTGAGTTCTGCTTGTCCACTGATAGACAGGACAATCCATAAAGAGACAGTTAACTGACAACATAACTTGGCAATCCTCATAAGAGTGGTGGCCAGAATTTTTCCATGAGATGTGTGTCCAATACGGAGAGGGAGAACGTAGTCTCTCAAACACAGCAGCAATGGTAAGAAGAAGGCCAGAAACCCAAACGTGGTTTAACAGAAAGCAATTTATTGTGAACCAACTCAGACCACCATTGTTGTCAACGGATGCAAAATTTTTGAGAGAGCCATTTCATAATTTCTCTTGAGACTAACTTATTTATCTTTTTTCTTAGGTGTGTACACCATGGCATTCTAATTTTGGTCTAGAGAATGTTGTGAAGAAATGTTTCAGCATTTTTCAGTCCATATAGCTCAATGCTATTTCAAAGTTGGCCATGTCACACAGGAATACAAGTTAACAGAAGTGAAACAAGGCTGGAAGCCCCATCAGTGTCAAATGCTCGAATAGGTAAACATAGCAGGAAAAAATAACATAAGAAAGGGCAGAAATGTAAGGACAAATACAATTACAGTACATAGGATTAACGAAGAATGAATCTATGAGTGACAATGTAGGTGGGAAGACTTTGGATGAATGGATTAGGATGGCTGCAGTTTGAGGATAATATAAAAAAAAAAAAACAGGTCAAAAATATGAAAGAGAAGGTAGGGAAATTAGTGGCAAGTTACCCAAGGGTCATTCCATGTCAAGTGGTCTGATTTTAGAAAAGTACCCTACCTGACCATCATGGATTTTGATGAAACTCGGTGTACTGAATCTTACATGTCTCAAATTAAGTTTGGTTAAGTTTTAGATCTGTCAATGAAATGGTTGATGAGATAGAACCTTTCATTTGACACCATCCCACAGTCCTCTTGGAAGAGAACTGTAACAAAATGTAAGATATCAAAGAAGGGAAAATGACATAAGACCACTGACGAACAAGGTAGACAGGATGAGGAAAGACAATGTAATAGAGAAAGAGGGCAAGGGGTACAAAAATAAATTAAAAGAGAAGAACATGAGGATGAAGACAGAGTGAATGCAAGTCTGACAAATGCACAGAAATAAAAAATCTGGGATGTCATTAGAGGGATACAAAAGGACTAGAAGCAGAAGCTGGGGAAGTTAAGGACTAAGAGAAAGACCCCAGGCATATATCATCTGTGGTCATGACCTGCAAGCCAGAAGAAACAAACCTCAGCCAGGAGAGTTATAACGGAAATATTTCACAAGATGGCAGATGACAGAAGTGGTGGGTAGTTTTTTTTTTTAAATGGAACATTTGGTAATGTAAGAGAAGACCATTAAGTATATTGTTTTAACAAAAACTGAAAGGAACAAAAAAAAAAAAAATGCTGGGGAAGAAACTAAAATCCTTCACATTCAATAATGAGAACACAGAAGAGAAACTATCAATAGAAACAGGTGTCAAATTAAAAAGTACAATATTTAGGGAAAAAAAATCCAGAAGACAACACTTTCCAAGGGAGGAGAACATGGAAATATTACAACTAAGCCTAAGAACATAACCCATTCTCTTCACCTAAACCCCATACACAGCATTACATTTTACTCCACTTCCCCCAGTCCTTCACCACTGTCTTACTTCCAATAATCCCACACAACTCTGGCATCTTCCCTCTACAGTAAAACCCCTGCAGAAAGCATGCTTGAACTCCATACATCTCCCATACTCTTTCTTAACTTCCCTCCCCAATCATTCCAACACCATAACCCATAAACCTAACAGCAATAAACTTTTCCCATTCCAGTCTTAGCAACAAGCTACTACCACATTCCACAGCATCTCAACCATCCATCCCCACCACCACAATGATGTTACACCCCATTGACAACAGATGTATTTTACACATACTCCCTCCCAGTACCACTACTGCTAAAACCCCAGTTCTCTTCTTTCACCCATCAGTATCACCTTCCCCATTCCCAACCAAGTTTAAGTGCATGTCTGCCCCCAGATTTCCCAGTCTTGAACCCCAACCAACCTCTATCACCACTGGGTGGTTAGGGCCCCTCAAAACACAGCAATAAGTAGAGATACTGACTGTGAGAACTAGGAGGCCCAGAGACATGGAAAAGCAAGTTGCTTGCCACTAGCCTTCTGACCCAATAAGTGCAAAATAACGAGAATAGAGAAGAAAGTCTCGATGGGATACGGCCAGTGCACTGAAAGAAAGAACAGGGAAGAAAGTGAGTAGACCAGATACTGAATACCATCTATGAGAGGCACTGCAGAGTACAAGGAGAAATATCAGGTAGTAAGCCACTATGCCACTGCTAAGGACTACCTCTGACACTAATTGACCAATTATTAGACTGAAATACTATAAAACACACTAAAATACAGTAATATGTCTAAACTGTCATTTAACACACAAAATGAATTTTTTAACAAATTGGCCACATCCCACCGAGGCAGGGTGACCTAAAAAGAAAAAGAAATGTTTCTCTTTTTAAATATAGTAATTTATACAGGAGAAAGGGTTACTACCCAACTGAAGAAGAATCAAGTCACAATATCATAAGTGAAACAATTCATAACTATCCCACAAATTGAAGAGAAAACTTTACAGTTTACTTGCAACTTGACAAGGACCAAGATGCCATTCTACTTCCTTCTTCAAACTGTGGGTTAGTTGTAAAAAGCTGTCATATATATGAAGTGAACCCTAATATTAAAGAAAACGTGAGAGTATATCTTCTAAATAATTTTGATCTTCCCTTACCACATGATACTGTCATCACCACCACTCAATCTTATCTGAGGATTTATACGTAAAGACGAAACATAGTGTGTGTTTGTGTGTGCTTGTTACTACTGCTGTTGCTAAGATAACAGACCAAGATAACTAATGTAGTAGTGTTAGGTAAATGGACACAGATGCAATTAATGAGATATTTTATCATAGCAACGTTTCGCTCTCCAGGAGCTTTGTCAAGCCATAACGACTTGACAAAGCTCCTGGAAAGTGAAACGTTGCCACAATAAAATGTCACGTTAGTTGCATGTGTGTCCTTTTATTGTGGCAACGTTTCGCTCTCCAGGAGCTTTGTCAAGCCGTAACGACTTGACAAAACTCCTGGAAAGCGAAACGTTGCCACAATAAAATGCCACATTAGTTGCCTCTGCATCCATTTACTTATTTTGCTGGTAATTCTACCATCACATTTCGTATCCTGGAGGCTGTAGCAAACTTTCCAAAATTTTGCCTTCAGCAACATTCATGGCTGCTTTCACTATGGTAAATGCCCAAGACTAACTCAAAAATATCGTATCTGATATGACTGACAGGAGCTAGTATTAATATCTGAAGGTTATTTGGCAGGATTAATCATTTATATTTTCACTTATAAAACATGCAGACTGAGCATTTTGTTTAAATTATACTATCAAGATAAATACAACGGCAAAAAAATTGCATGATGATCAATTCCCTTAAGGTATAAATTGCCATCTCAAAACTGCCTTAAAATACACCCATGGTTCCTCTGAATGGCTTGTAATCTCAAAATGAACCGACATTTTGTCTCATTTCACAACCAGAGGATCTTAATTGAACCTATTCCTTATCACAAAAGGAACTTATTTTTAAATGACATTCTGCAGATATTGGTAATCCCATTAACTTTTATGAAGACGAACTTGAGAATGACCTTCCAACGAATAATAAATTGGTCATAATATGCCATTTAAGCATGTTTTTTATTAAATAAAAGCATTAATTTAAAACAAATTGCAATCAGTGTATTGTATTACCATTTATTAAATTTGATGCTTGTGTATATAGCACAGTGGGACAAAAAAAAAAAAAAAAAAAAAAAGAAAGAAGAGGGTAATGTCTGTTTTCCTATACATGGTTTTGAAGCTGGGACTCTTAGTCAATTTTGACTGCTCCATAGATATTCCTAATAAAGAGATATGCTGCATAAAAGCCAACTGTTCCAGTAAGTAACCAGAAAGTCATAACCATAATTGTGGTGTAGCCAAAATACAGCAAGAGCGGAACAAACTCTGTGATCTCCAGCTTAGTAGTTAGGTAGAAAATGGAGTAAGCAGCAACGTACACGGCTGACCCACCAGAAGTGATAAGGCTGCGCCACCACCAGTGATAATCTTCGCCACATAGCTGAAAGTATGCCATCACTACGCTGATCTGGCCACATGAGATGACAAGGATCAAGAACACCAGGAACAAGAACCCAAATAAGTAATAAAACTGGTTCTCCCAAATTGCAGACAAGATGAAGAACAATTCAATAAACATGGCTCCAAAAGGCAGTACACCTGCCATAAGCAGGCACAACACAGGATGCATGTACCAAACTTGCTCTGGTACTTGTCGTGGTATCTGGTTGGTACGAACTGGGTGCTCGTAAGGCTGTTTTCGAAATCCAAAGAAGTAACCGATGAACGTAAGAGGCACCAAGACGCAGATCCACAGTGACAATAATGCCATCATTGTTGTGAATGGCACTGCTCCACTAGACTGTTTTCCCCAAATGAAGAAATTCAAGAAAAATCCAGTGCTAAATACAAAAGCAGGGTAAAGGGTGGCTGTCCAAAACGCTGCAGATTTCCACTGATGTCCGCGGAGAGTGCGGTACAGTCGACCAGACATATAACCAGCGACGAGACCCATGAAGACATAGAGCAAGATGCCAGCGGTCATGAGAGCACCACGAGACGCAGGGGAGAGCATGCCAAACATAGCTAGTATGATGGTAATGAGTGCCATACAGAAGATCTGCATGCCAGAGCCCACTAGAGCAGAGAAGAGCTTGGGGTAGCGGGGAGGTCGGAAAACATCACCATGCACCAGCTTCCATCCTGACTCTTCCAGAGTTTCTTCCAAACTTTCATCGGCATTATATCTGAAAAAACAATCACTATACAGAAGGCCACTGTATATAAAATCTTTTAAAATACAATGATATGACACACATTCATGAGATACTTGAAGAGACATGTACAGTGGAGCCTTGAGTTACGAACTTAATTTGTTCCAGAAGGCTCTTCGAGTGCCATTACCGAACAAATTTTTTCCCATAAGGAATAATGTAAATTAGATTAGTCTGTTTCAGACCCCCAAAAATACACTTACAGAAGCACTTACAAAAATACACTTACATAATTGTTTAAGTTGGGAGTTGTTCGAAACTCAAGGTGCCACTATATTTGTACAGTAAACAGTATTTTGAAACAAATTTGCACGGTGCTAATCAGCATACCGAGCTTACTATAAAGTGATATTAAATGCCACTTAAAATTATACAGAATATTTCAGAATTGTTAGTTTAACAGTTTAAAGATTAACAGTACAGTATATTACATTATGAAATAAGGAACCTTAAGGTCGCATCACCATAAAACAACGCAGCCCAAATTAACAGAGTATCGTAATGCATGTGATCCACAGTAATATGAAAAATGAATACGTTAAAAGTTCAATAAATACAATGAAATTTAAACAAACCAGGAAGCACAGAAAAGTAGGTAATGTTGCACAGTAATTCACAGTTTTGATAAATTCAGATTAACGTGGGCAATTTGCTGCATTTTTTTTTTTCCGTGGCTTGTGCAGGGTCCCCTATTTTACCCAAGGTGAATTTTGAACTACTCAGTCTTAACTTTTGCTAACTCTGCCTGGCAGACTGTTACGTAGTTCTCCTAAGAAAAATTTCCTGCACTGTGGTGTGATGAGCATAAAGCCAATACCTCTAATATGTTACCTCGATTTCTTGAGCTCTGCTCCAGACTATGTAGAACAACTCTTTCCAGGCTTTGGGACTGACTGCCTCAAAACTACATCTTTGTGAGGGATGGACTGATTACATTGTCTTTACATCTCTACTGCTTCTGCTGCTGCCTCTGCATTCGACTGAAGAAGCCTACAGTGTAGTTGAACATTTTATAATAAATATACCTAACTTCTGCACATGTCTTGTTTATCAACTTGCTGCTACTGTATATCATTCTCATATTCACATCTCTTGAAGCAGTTGGAGGTCTTTATTATCTGACGCCTAAAGTATCTCATACAATTTTTTTTTTTTTTTCAACAAGTCGGCCGTCTCCCACCGAGGCAGGGTGACCCAAAAAAGAAAGAAAATCCCCAAAAAGAAAATGCTTTCATCATCATTCAACACTTTCACCACACTCACACATTATCACTGCTTTTGCAGAGGTGCTCAGAATACAACAGTTTAGAAGCATATACGTATAAAGATACACAACATATCCCTCCAAACTGCTAATATCCCAAACCCCTCCTTTAAAGTGCAGGCATTGTACTTCCCATTTCCAGGACTCAAGTCCGACTATATGAAAATAACCGGTTTCCCTGAATCCCTTCACTAAATATTACCCTGCTCACACTCCAACAGATCGTCAGGTCCCAAATACCATTCGTCTCCATTCACTCCTATCTAACACGCTCACGCACGCTTGCTGGAAGTCCAAGCCCTGTCATATTTAACTTGACGATATGTTAGTACCATAGTCGTCAGTAAAACCAACAGTGCTCGAGAGCTCTGACTTGCTTCACTAATGGAATGGTTGGTATCAACTGCCTATAGAAATATTAAGAAAGGAAAATTAAAATGTGCTTTTTCACCTACCAAAATATTTTGTCATTCCTACTACAGTACCAAATACAACCTGTAGATGTGTTTTACCAGATACAGTGGAACCCTGGTGTTTGAACTTAATTGGTTCCATGGTGTTCGAAGTGCAAAAATTTCCACGTCCAAAACAGTATTTCCCAGGCTTTAATTGCTTCAAACACTGGAGATGTTGAACTGACTCTCCCAAAAGTCTCTGAGAGTTACATCAGTGTCAGAGGTCACTTCAAAGCACTTTTGTAAAAGGGGTTTTGTGTCAAGTTTTTACAAGTGAATTTTAAACAAATCAGTGTGTTCAGTTACCTCTTGTACATGACAATCAGGCACTTTCAACCCTTCCACACACTGGACTTCTCAGTGGAAGTGGCAGATGGATCACTCTCGAGTTACTGCCAGACAACCAAGCGGAATTCTTCAGATGTTTCGAATACTCTTTTGTAAATTCTTGGGAGTAAATTCTTGGGTAGCTACGGGAGTAATTTCTTGGGTAGCTTTGGGTAGAGGTCATTTTGATAAAGACCTGCCTTGTATGGGCCAGTAGGCCTTCTGCAGTGTTCCTCCATTCTTATGTTCTTAAAAATTGAAGGTAGCTGAAATGTCTAGCATAAAGTCTGCATAAGACCATCTACTGAAGGAAGATGTCTAGCATAAAGTCTGCATAAGACCATCTACTGAAGGAAGATGTCTAGCATAAAGTCTGCATAAGACCATCTACTGAAGGAAGATGTCTAGCATAAAGTCTGCATAAGACCATCTACTGAAGGAAGATGTCTAGCATAAAGTCTGCATAAGACCATCTACTGAAGGAAGATGTCTAGCATAAAGTCTGCATAAGACCATCTACTGAAGGAAGAAGTGTTTTCAGAGGGAACAGGACATAAAAGGTGGAAAAAATGTCAAGGGCTATATAAAAATTCCCAAATCAAATGCCAAGATAAAAAAAACATTTAACATCACATGCATTAGCTGAAGCAAGTCACACCAATGGCAAACCAAGTCCTACCAAAATTATTTTTTAAGTGTTCTAGAGATATTAAAAACTGTTTCATAATGCACAGAAAATACCTCAAATATGCCACAAAGGCAATAATTATGTAAAGTACTCTACTGGTAAAATTAAATTATATAATGTAAAAAATTTGGGGACAGATTTCCAAGTTAAATATGCTTCTTACCATATAAATATAAAGAAAACAAGATTACAGGTCTATTGTTGTCTATGAAAATCCCATCTGCAATAAGTAGTCTTCCACTGAGGTAGGGTGATGTGGCCCCTCAAAAAAAAATGAAACATATCCACCATCAATCATTCAACTGCTAACTTGCCAGAATGTCCTGACATCACAATTCAGATGACCCCCCTCCCCAAATGCAACATCCACATCCCTCCAGAGTGCGGGCACTATACTATCTCTAGAACCAATGTGGTTGCAAATATACTGTGTAACAATCATGAGCAAATTATGGTTGCAGTCCTACATGCCTCAATCACTAAATGGCTATGCAACCCAGCCATGCATAAACAAATAAAAATGGCATATGTAAGCCTCAACAGCTATATGCAGTATTTAATTAGGACCATCAGCCAAGGGCAAATAATTTTTCTTTTAGCTAATGTGTTTCCTAAAATGATGTGGATGCAAGACTCTTCAAACACATAATGGATCCCCCATTTAACCCTTAAACTGTCCAAATGTAGATCTTTGTTCACTTGCATGGCGCTCCGAATGTAGATCGATGTTTTATTTTACAAGCTTTCAAATGTAAAAAAAGTATTTCACTCACTACCTGAGTGAATGTAGATCTACATTCGGAGCACTAAATGAGTGAACATGGATCTATGTTTGGAGCACTACGTGAGTGAACATAGATCTACGTTCGGAGCACTATGCGAGTGAACGTAGATCTACGTTCAGAGCACTACGTGAGTGAACGTAGATCTACGTTCGGAGCACTATGTGAGTGAACATAGATCTACGTTCGGAGCACTACGTGAGTGAACATAGATCTATGTTCGGAGCACTATGCGAGTGACCGAAGATCTACGTTCAGAGCACTACGTGAGTGAACGTAGATCTACGTTCGGAGCACTAAGCAACTGAACACAGATCTACGTTTGGACAGTTTAAGAGTTAATAGCTTTGGGTAAGAGAACAAAATCCATTGAATGTGTTAGTAGTCTTATTTAGTCTCTGTTTTCCCTAGATTTACTGCATTTATTTATTACTTTACATTATTGGCAATAAAGCAAGGGCTTTACAAATATGCCCGAGTAATAACCCTCCCCATCTTGAGAGTACAAATCAGAGAAAATTACACACGCTTGCTCTCCCTCTGTGGGTATCTAGCTCTCTTGCAGTGCTCCCCTTCCTTTGTATTTGACTGGCTCGTTATCCTTATTTCTCACTTCTACCACTACCACTACTACTACCTCTTCTTCTTCTACTACAACTACTGATGAAATTAAGACACATGTGCGGCGTCTGGTTGTCTTTGTTGTGGACGTTTCGCCATCCAGTGGCTGGCTGGATGGCAAAACGTCTACGGTGGGGATGCCCGGGTGTTGTGCATGTGTCTTGGTTTCATCCTGTCGGTATTATATACAATTCTTGTACTACTACTACTACTACTACCACCTCCACCTCTTCTTGCCTATATATAGCCGTCCTGCTCCACCTCTGTTAGTGTGACTTTGTCAATGGTCCAAGCCGGACCGAAACGTCGTCATAAGCTTCTCTCTTTTATGTGCGGGTATTTGTGTATCGTTCCAGTCACGGTATTGTGCCTTTTTGTTATTTATTTTCAGAGAAAATTACAAAAAAATTATAAAAATTTCGAAAAAATGTTAGCAAGATTATTTATAGAACACACACACACAACACACACACACACACACACACACACACACACACACACACACACACACACACACACACACACACACACACACACACACATTCTGGAGAAATACCCTGACTTTGCTAGCTGTAAATAAAGCATTACCACATGTGTGCATGTGTGTGTGTGTGTGTGTGTGTGTGTGTGTGTGTGTGTGTGTGTGTGTGTGTGTGTGTGTGTGTGTGTGTGTGTGTGTGTGTGTGTGTGTGTGTGTGTGTGTGGGTGTGTGTGTGTGGGTGTGTGTGAGGGTGTGTGTGTGGGTGTGTGTGAGGGTGTGTGTGTGTGGGTGTTGGTGTGTGTGTGTGTGGGTGTGTGTGTGTGGGTGTGCGTCCTTGTGTGTATGCATATATTTG